GACAAGCGGCCGATCGGGCCGATCACCCGACACGGTCGCCTAAAAATAAACGTGTTTGTTTTCAGTTTCAGGCGACCGAGTCGGGCGATCGGCCCGATCCAGCCGTAGTGGACACCCGTATTAAGCTAGATACATACTCAATGTTATTCTGACGCATGCTCTAATCAGTCGCGAATCAAATCGACAGCTGTCGCAGAGAGCACAGAAGAAGGCTAGGTATTTCCGTTAAATCCTCAGCTCAAAGAAATTACCAGCTTGGCGATGAGTGATGCCAAAAATCCCAAATTAAGCTCCTACTGCCTTGTGTATAATAATAGTCAGTGGATGACAAAAGTTGCAGAGGAAATTGTCTACAAAGCTTTACTTCACTTTACATTTATCCGCCGCTTATACCCTTTTGGGTGTCGCGTGAAGAAAGAGACGTCTCTCTGCAACCAAAGACAGACCTAGCAAGTCGAGAGTGGATGTTTTATTGCTAAAAAACAAATAGAAGAAAGAAACGGACTGATAGAGAACAAATAGAAGAAAGAAACGGACTGATAGAGAACAAATAGAAGAAAGAAACGGACTGATAGAGACGGAAAACGACCCGGAAACGTCTAAAAAGCAGCAGTAGGAAACCACTGGTGTAATCTTCCAAGAAAGCCCGTGACAAACCAATACGGAAATTTCCCATATTATGATAACGACATTAAGAGGGAAGGGGGTGGGGTGTGACCCAGTTCTGAACTTCTCCCCCAGAAGAGTCCGATCCCTACGCTTTGCCTAGCAGTCTGCCAAACTGATTTTTTTAGAAATACTGAAAGTTTCAAAGAGATCTTCTTACTAGAAGTATTCTAAAATGTGAAGAATACAACCCAGGGGGTTGAAAATGTCCCCAGGGCGTACGGAGATAGGGTTAAACAGTTGGTTAGCATACACAGAATGCATCGTTTACGATGACAGAAGAGAAAAATTAAATTGTAGTCGAGACAATAAAATGGACACTGACACTGGAAGAAGAAAATGAAACAAGGCAATGCTGCACAGTCTGACAATACTCTAGTTGAAGTGAACAGGCTACTGAAATTTTAACAACAGAGTTCTGGAGTTCTTACTTTCGGTCTACGACAGTAGTGGTAAGGTTTCAGAAGATATGGTTGAGTCAGACTTGATAGCTACGCCTAAAACATGAGGTGACGCGTGACACAGAGCGGAAGTTGCATAGAATGATATGCCTTAAGAACCATTATACAAACAATTTGCTGAGAGTACTAAATGGAAAGAATGATTTAAAAAACTCTAAGACCTAATAAATCGTAAGCAGAATTTGCCTTTTGCCTGACAAGGGTACTCAGAATGCTATTTTTATCCTAACATTAAAAATGGAAGAATATATTGACGAACAGAAACTGCTATAGTTATGTTTTATTCCACTGATTACTTAATCTTACGCATGACGAACTATTCAACATTCTGAGAGAGGATTTGAGAATTAGTAGGAATCTTTACAAGAACAAAACCGCTGCTGTTAGAGTTGAAGGAGAGTTCAGCGAATATAAATAAATTAAAATAGAAGGCTATTGTGTGTCTCCAGACCTCTTTAACCTATACAGTAAAACGCTCTTTGAAAATATAGACAAATCTGAATGGAGAAAATATTGATCATGTCACAAACAGTGATGATACAAATTCTATTTCAGATCTAAAAATGGACCTTTAATTGCTGTTATGACGAAACGTGGACGTGAGGTAAAGAAAATAGATTGCATGACAATATCTAAAACAAAAAAAACAACAACCAACCTATAACACCCTATTTAATTTGTAATCTCATAGGCAAAGTTGGAAAGCTCAAAATATTTGATCAGTTCAGATGTTTTATCAAGAATAATATCATTACAACTGATGCCGATTGTACCAAATGAAACAGAATTGCAAACGCTTAAGATGGTTTCAATAAAATGAGTTCAAGCCCAGAAAACAGAGACATCTCAATAACATCTAAAAAGGTTTCAAAGGAATATGTGTCATCAAACGTTCTACGCGGCCGTGAATACCGGACAATATCGAAGATAGTGAAAATAAACTTGAGACAACCAAAATGTTGTTCTTTCGCAGAATGTTAAGAAAAGAACTCAATGGACGGGGGAAACCAGCAATTAATGAGATGGTGCTGAAAGCAGCCATAGTGGGCCAGCAGTACTTAAAAGAATTAGGACGAAACAAATGCAGTTTTTAGGACACTTGAATGACTATAAAGGCCATGATTACTGAGGTCGCACTGGACAAAACAGAAGAAATAAGCGGCAAGTGTTGAGCGAAAATAATGAACGCTGAGGACGATAACAGATAAGTGAACAGAAAATGACCCAGACTATAATAATATGTTTGTTTTAGTAGGAGTTTCACGGCGCTCGCAACTGCATAAGGTCATATGAGCGCCAGAAGATAAGAACAAAATTATTGAAATTGCATGGGTTTAACGCCCCTATCAACACTATTAGGCTATTTAAGGGGCAGGACCTCCTAATTTAACGTCCGTCTCCGATAGGACCGAGCGAAGTGGGAAGTTCGTGTAAAGTGCCTTTCCCAAGAACAGACTGTCGGACCGAGCTGAGGCTCGAACCCCCAAACCCGCAATCTCACGATTACGAGGCCGGTAGCCTAACCACTAGGCTACCGACGCCACCAGAAGACTAGAGGTGTTACAAGAGAGTAACAATTATAAAAAAAAGAAGAAGGGGAGATAAGGACGATAGATGTTTAATAGGAAAGAAGGAGCAAACCAGAGCACCCGCCAACCACCCACACCCAGACAATAATAATATAGTGTAAGTATTTTCAAGGGTATCAAAACAGAGAAATGAGTAGCAAACCATGATTGCCAATGTCTATTACAGATCTGGCAATTCATTATGATGAAAAATATCGATCTTACGATCTTTGTGTCATTAATCTGATTTGTGCGTTCCACTTTCAACAGTTGAGACCTATCTACTTTTGTTAAAAGTGTCAGCAATTTAATTTAAGCCAACACATTCGCTACCTTAGAGTTACAAAGTTTTGTCTGACATTATCGGCCGTTTTAAAGTTACTAAAACCATGAGGTCAGAAATCAAATGCTCTGATCTCTCTCTAAAGATCGTAGGATTATTCTGAGTCAGTATCAAGATATTCAAACAATTTTATTCGAATAAGTTGGAAATATTGTGAAACTCAAATTCTTTACATTAAATTTCTCAAAATTAGGTACTGAGAAGATAGAACTTTGTAATTCTAAGACAGCGAACAGCCACCACGTCTCCTTTCCATTTTGCCATCATCTTCATCTATCAACAGGCATCCAACACATGTTAAAGCTTTAGAGTTACCATGACAACACCCCTAAACTTTAAGCCAGTTACCCTTTGTTTCGTAGTACTTATATAACCGTTGAACATTCAAAGGACGGAAAAAATCAAATGAGATGGTGCTGAAAGCAGTCATAGTGGGCCGCTCAATATTTAAAAAGAATTTGGACGAAACGGGTGCAGTTTCTGGGACACTGAATGACTACAAAGGCCTTGAACACCGTGGTCTCACTGCAAAAGTAGAAGAAAAAGAGGCAAAAAAACAAAAACTGAGAACATGAACAGACGAGTGACAAGCATTTTTTTTACTACTCACCTTATACAAGATAAAACAATTGAAGATAATGATGAGTAAGAAAGGGCCAAAGCCGTAGAGCAAGGCATCCACCCAGGGCCAAACGAAGGAGACCACAAGCTGATAGCCTGGCACGGCGCCACACTTGTACCTGACGACTTCTCCCCCGCCGCCGTCTCCAGGAGATATCTTGTCGTCCGCTGCCACAGAGGCTGCCGAGCCTGTCCCAGCCATAGTCTCCGAGCGTACTGGTTCGAGATCTGTACTGAACAACAAGTGAACATTGACGAGGCTGAACACGAGCAAGATGGCCGCCACAATCTTGCGAGCCCGAGTGTCCTGACAGAAGGTAGGCGCACGGAGAGGATGACAAACGACGATGTATCTCTCAACGGTCACGGCCACGATAAGCCAGACAGAGACGTCGCTGCAGGTATACCCCAAGGCCACAATCACTTTACACAGCCACCGGCTCTCGTCCCGTATGTCGGAGCCCGTGAGTTCCCCCAGCCAGAGCCGGAGGAGGCCGATGTAGAGGACAAGAGAGTCGAACACCGCCAGAGTGCTCAAGTACACGAAGATGGACTGTTGGCGCATGGACTTCTGCCGGAGGATGAGGAAACTGAAAGGAAAATGACAATAACCATGATAGCGACAATAGTAGTAACAATGACACTAGGTATGATAATGACAATGACAATGACAATGACAATGACAATGACAATGACAATGACAATGACAATGACTATCATTATTGGCGAACGTGTTCTGTCTCGGTCGTTTACACTGGCAGTGGTGTTGTAAAGTGCGTGTCGTGCACTCATCGATACACACAACAAGAACGTAGATGTATATTGCTTACCAAACACCTCGGCTCCATAAACATTCTCTCTCTCTCTCTATCTGTGTCTCTCTCTAACTCTCTCTCTCTCTCTCTCTCTCTCTCTCTCTCTCTCTGTCTGT